CACGTGTGCCTCCGCAGCTGGGGCTCCTAGGCTTCTTGAAGGTCCATCATAAACTCTGTGTGCAGTATCGGTCCCACCATCCTGTCTGCACTGTTGTCATCCCAAACCTAGACACAGAGTCTGCACCTACTCCTTGCCTGTCTCTGATGCCTCAGGACCAGGTTAAGGCTCCTCAAGAGGGCAAACCAGCTGTTCAGGCCCTCTCCGCTCCAGTATCGCAGGTTGCTGGACAACCACACTGTTAGTCACCCAAACTCGCCCCCTGGCTGTCAAGACATTCCCCAGTGCCAAGTTGATGCTACCCATGTTATGACCAACACTGTTCATCCATCTGCATCTAGAGGTCCGTCTTGGTCACCAGCACCGTGGGACTGCTCCCCTCATGTTACTGGTCTCTGCAGCACCATTCCCCCACCTTCCCCACCGACACCGATCCCCTGAGCATCCAATGCACCAAGACTTGTCGCTATCTTTAGTCAAGGTGCACCAGGCTGCCATTTCTGCTTCAGGGCAGGTCAGTCTTTGCCCATCCTCTGATTCATGAAAGATTTGGTGTACCTGTACCTGCACATCTGAGACCCGCTTCCGCCAAGGGGCTCAAGTGTGATGCTGTTAACCCCTAGCTTCCTGCTTTCTCCTGCTCCTTTCTTGGAAAGCGTCCTCTTGGTTGTCCTAACATTGGTATGGCAGGTATCCAAGATCAGGGTACTTATCTCAAGTCACCCTCTCCAGTCTTGTACAAGGAAGAGGTCCAGCTGTACCCACATAGAGCTTTTCTGCCCACGGTTGTTTCCCAGGTCCACAGAGGCCAGGACGTCTACGTGCTGGTCCTTTGTTCGAAGCCACGTGCAACAGATGAGGAGTGCCTGTTGCATGCGCTTGACATCAGGCAGGCGTTCTGCAAGTCAGCACAGCTATTGCTGCGGTCACAGACAAGATGAAGGGCTACCAGGTGTCAGCCCAGAGAATTTCATCTTGGATCATAGCTTGCATCCGTCATTGTCAGTAGCTGGCAAAAGCGCCCTGCCAGCAATTGTGACATCTCATTCCACTAGAGCGGAGGAGTCTTTGCTGGCCTTGGCTCAGGTGCTGATCCAAGAGGTGGAATCATAGAATCCTATAACGCTAGAACTGGAAGGGACCTCGAGTCATTGAGTCCAGTCCCCTGCCCTCATGGCAGGACCAATCATGGTCAATCATCCCTGATAGGTGTCTGTCTGACCTGCCCTTGAATATCTGCAGAGATGGAGATTCCACAACCCCCCTAGGCAATTTACTCCAGTGTTTAAGCCCCCTGACAGGCAGGAAGTTTCTCCTAATGTCCAACCTCAACCTCCCTTGCTGCAGTTTAAGCATGGCTCCAGCCTACAAAAGTGGCTAAAGGACAGAAGGCTATAAGAAAGGCAACACATCTCTCCGAAGAATTTAATTTTTCACAGGCAGTTCTTCAGAGGAATTTGAAGAAGCCCAATGGTCAAATCAGAGCACCTTTTTTTACTTGGGATCTAAATTCTCTCTGACAATACTTACTTGAGTGCTTCCTTAGCTTGCTATATATGCCACAGGCTTGCTGTCCCTTTGAGGAGAGCTGGGCCCAGCCTGACCTGTGACAGATAAGCTATCTCTTAGCTGAAACTGTTCAGCTAAGGATCAGGTATTAGCAAAACCAGCACATAGGCCAGTTGGGGAGAAAGCTGCCGGGAGCAGCAAGGTGCATCCAGGAGACCTTGGGAAAAGCCGTAGGTGGCAGGTTGACTCCTGGAGCAAGCCGTGGCACAGGGTGCGCCTCTAAGGCAAATGGCCTGCAAGAGTGGAAGCCCGTAGGGATTAGAGAGGCTCCTGCAGAAGATCCCAGTGTAAGGAGGAAGGGCAGCTGCTGTGCTGTACTAGTTTTATGTGGAAAAAATCTATCTGAAGCCCTGGGGAAAAGGGCGTGAACCAGATTTTGGGCATAGTGTCAGGCCTTCCCAGGCTGGAGAAACAGGCCAGTAATCTACACTGTATAGTCAGGGTGGTACTGAGCTGTGCAGCGCAATCCGACAAGGAGAGGAGGTTACCCCACTGAGACAAACCTTGATGTTGATGGAACATTTAACTAATGCTGCATAATAATAACTGGTATTCACATGTAAGTGGAGAGGATATCTCCTCTATGTTATAGCCATCTACAGTTCATTAGGGTCTGGGCCTCGGCAGCAGCAATGAGACAATAGAGTATTTATTAGAAACTCTCTTGTCTTCATCCTCTTATACGCGTGTAACAAAAGCCCCAAGCAAACTGCTTTTCTTCTTTGTTGTGCCTGAAGAAGAGTTTTGGCTGCCGTCCGCAGATAATAGTTATCCCCGTGGTCAGTGCAATAGTGTAAGTTCATCTCAATCATAATGCTTGCTTTGCTAAAGCATCTGTCCCAGAAAGGCATCCAGTCCTGATATGAAGGCTCCAATACTTCCCTCTGTTAAAAAGATGTGCCCTGCTTCGACTTCGAATTTGTACCTCGTTGGCTTTCAGCCACTGGTTTTTATTCCACTTTTCTCAGCTAAATCATAGAATCCTAGAACACTAGGACTGGAAGGGACCTCGAGAGGTTATTAAATCCAGTCCCCTGCCCTCATGGCAGGACCCAGCGCCATCTAGACCATCCCTGATGGATGTCCCTCTAACCTGCTCTTAGATATCTCCAGAGATGGAGATTCCACAGTCTCCCGAGGCAACTTATTCCAGGCTACATCTAGACTGGCATGATTTTCCGGAAATGCTTTTAACTGAAAAGTTTTTCCGTTAAAAGCATTTTCGGAAAAGAGCGCCTAGATTGGCACGGACGCTTTGGCACAAAAGCACTTTTTGCGGAAAAGCGTCTGTGCCAATCTAGATGCGCTTTTCTGCAAAAAAAGCCCCGATCACCATTTTTGTGGAAAACAAATCTGGGCTGTCTACACTGGCCCTTTTGCGGGGCTGCACACGCGCCAGGGGGCGGGACCACCCATACGCAGCGTGCCCAGTGCTGGTGCCACCCATGCGCTGCACTCCCGGGGCCGGCGCCGCTCCTGTGCTGCACACCCAGAAGCCGGCATCACCCATGTGCTGCGCGCCTGGGGCTGGTGCTGCTCCTGCGCCACGTGCCAGGGTTGGGGATGCTCATACGCCGCACGCCCATGGCCAGCATAGCCCATGCACTGCACGCCTGGGGGCGTGGCTGCCCATGTGCTGTGTGCCCCAGGCTGGCACCACCCCTGTGCCGTGCGCCCAGGGGCCGGCACTGCCCATACGCCGCGTGCCCGGTGCCGGCACAGCCCTTGTGCTCTGCACCTGCGGGTGGGGCCGCCCATACACTCTGTGCCCAGGGCCGGGGGCCACCCATACTCCGCATGCCCGGTGCCGGCACAGCCCTTGTGCTCTGCACCTGCGGGTGGGGCCGCCCATACACTCTGTGCCCAGGGCCGGGGGCCACCCATACTCCGCATGCCCGGTGCCGGCACAGCCCTTGTGCTCTGCACCTGCGGGTGGGGCCGCCCATACGCTCTGTGCCCAGGGCCAGGGGCCGCCCATACTCCGCATGCCCGGTGCCGGCACAGCCCTTGTGCTCTGCACCTGCGGGTGGGGCCGCCCATACGCTCTGTGCCCAGGGCCAGGGGCCGCCCATACTCCGCATGCCCGGTGCCGGCACAGCCCTTGTGCTCTGCACCTGCGGGTGGGGCCGCCCATACGCTCTGTGCCCAGGGCCAGGGGCCGCCCATACTCCGCATGCCCGGTGCCGGCACAGCCCTTGTGCTCTGCACCTGCGGGTGGGGCCGCCCATACGCTCTGTGCCCAGGGCCAGGGGCCGCCCATACTCCGCATGCCCGGTGCCGGCACAGCCCTTGTGCTCTGCACCTGCGGGTGGGGCCGCCCATACGCTCTGTGCCCAGGGCCAGGGGCCGCCCATACTCCGCATGCCCGGTGCCGGCACAGCCCTTGTGCTCTGCACCTGCGCTCATACGCCGTGCACCCGGGGGTGGGGCCACCCATACGCTGCATGCCCAGGGGACGGCACGGCCCATGCACCACGTGCCAGGGGGCGGAGCTGGCCCCGATTACTTGGCGGGCGCACAGAAATGGCCCGGCGGGCACCATGGCGCTTGTGGGCACCGCATTGGGGACCACTGATCTAAACTCTCGTGGAGAGTAGCATAACGAGTACCAGAGGCCACCTGCTGAAGCGAGACTAATTCACATTAGAAATAAGGCAGAATATTCAACTATGAAGAAGTCTAACCAGTGGAACCAACTACTCAAGGCCATGCTGGACTCTCTGTCTTCTGAGGTCTTCAAACCAAGACTCCATGCCTTTCTGGAAGATGCTTCTGGCATTCTCGAGATCAGATTGGATAATCTAATTGTCAGTCTGTGAGAAGCCCTGCCCCAGGAACTGGGGCATGCAAGGATGAATGGAAAATCCTCAGGCCAGGTACAGGAGAGGCGGGAGAATTGATGGGGACTTGGAACACTGGCAGGAGCATTTCCTACATCAGAACGGCCAGACTGGGTCAGACCAAAGGCCCATCCAGCCCAGTGTCCTGTCTGCCCACAGTGGCCAATGCCAGGTGTCTCAGAGGGAGTGATCCGAACAGGTGATCCTCACGCGATCCCTCCCTTGTCTCCCACTTCCAGAGAAACAGAGGCTCGGGACCCCATCCCTACCCATCCTGGCTAATAGCCATCGATGGACCCAACCTCCATGAATCTGTCCTCCGGGGTGACAGTGGCTTCGTTATGTGCTGTATGCTGCTTTTTCTCCAGGCTGATGCCTGAAGTGTTTCCTGTGTGACAGTGGTTGGGCCACTCACTGGAGTTTTTCCTAGGCACTGAGAGTTTCTCCTGAGTTTTCCCTGGAGATGAGGCCTTGCTTGTGGATAGGTACATTGGCGCGTGGAGGAGCTGCCTTCTTTATGTGGCCTGATTCCTTCTCCTTCCAGTCTCCTACTGCTGGCCTTACCTCTCCCTGTGTTTTATTCCTCTCCAGAACATCAGCAGTGAGCCCTTGCGATTGGACTATCGGACCCTGGCGGCTTTGCCCACAAACAACTTCCCAAGAGTCACCCGTGCTGTAAGTGATGGGGCCTCACTGAGACTCCTCTGCTCTCCTCTCCTCTCCTCTCCTCTCCCTTCCCTTCCCCTCTCCTCTCCTCTCCTCTCCTCTCCCTTCTCTTCCCTTCCCTTCCCTTCCCTTCCCTTCCCTTCCCTTCCCTCTCTTCTCCCCTCTTCCCCTCCCCTCCTCTCCTCTCTCCTCCCCTCTCCTCTTCCCCTCTCCCTTCCCCTTCCCTCCCCATCTCTCCTCTCCCTTCACTTCCCCTCCCC